GGAACTGGGTGGAGGGGAGTTATGGTGGGAAAAAAGAGGAACCAATGTAATAATCTGAACAATAAAGATTTAATTAAAAATAAATAAATAAATAAATAAATAAATAAATAAATGTAAATGTGGAAAGTTATGGCCTACATGAAACCATCCCGCACAGTCTACCTCACCTGCTTTATATGAAGAACGCACCAGAGGGCCACTTGCCGTATAATGAAATCCAAGGTCATTTCCTACTTTTTCCCAGTATTTGAACTTTTCAGGAGTAATGTATTCTTCAACCTAGATTTAAAGAATTAATTTTGATTCTAGAATTTCCATAAATCATTTTGATTCTACAGAAAATTGATACCCATACATTCAAGGTGGTTTCATAAAAAATTATTTATTGTTGAAAGTATTATATACATCCCCTGGTCTCCCCCCATTGACCTCTTCTAGCCTGCCCCCACCGCCAGCCACCACCCTATTGTCTGTGTCCATAGCTTATGCATAGATGCAAACAAGTTCTTTGGTTGATCTCTTCCCACCCACCAACCCTCCCCTCCTTCCTCCTTCCGAGATTCCGCAGTCTATTCTATGGTTCTGTGTCTCTGGATCTATTTTGTTTATCAGTTTATTTTGTTCATTAGATTCCACATATGAGTGAGATCATGTGATACTTACCTTTCTCTATCTGGCTTATTTCACTTAGCATAATACTCTCCAGGCCCCTTCATGCTGCCTCAAAGGGTAAGAGATCCTTCTTTTTTACTGCTGCATAGAATCCCAAGGTATAAATGTACCACAGCTCTTTTATCCACTCGTCTACTGATGGGCAATTGGGACTTTAACTATTGTAAATTGTGCAGGTTTGATTCTGGTCAAGAGCACCTGCTTCAGTTGCAGGCTTGATGTCTCTCTCTCTCTCTGACTCCCCCTTCCTTCCACTCTCTCTAAAACCCATGGAAAAGTATCCTCAGATGAGGATTAACAAACAAACAAACACACAAATAATAAAAAGTGGGATCTACCTTTGCACAATGACTCCTTGGTCTGGTTTCCTCCCTGATTTTATTGTTTGGATAATGACTATTAGCATCTGAAGGGAGCCTTGCTTTCCCCCTCCTTCTTTCCCCACCCTATCCAGTCCCTTCCCTCACTGGAGGTCAGATATCCCTCAGCAATAGAGCAAGCCTGAGAATTATTCTCAGATAGAAGATACCATTAAGCTTATTGTCACTAAGGTTTAATATTTGTTTTGCATGTGATTTTATTTTCGATTGCTCTGTTTGATGGGAACCATTATAGAATTCTGAAAGGCAAATTTATATGGCAACTATTTCCTTTAGCATGGCTAAAATAAAAATTTTAGGCTCAGAATATCCTTGCAAAGCTTAACATTATTTGCAAATATTTATATAATTTTATTCATATTTTAATGTGTTTGTTTTAATTGCTACAGGTGTGAAAAAATTGAAAGATGTGGAGTATCTGGGGACAGTAGCCAGTGTTTGCCTTCATTCAGACTATGCTGCTGCTCTTTTTGAAGGCAAAGTCCAGTTACACTTGGTAAGTATAATTTTGATGTCCTGGAGGCCTGCTCAGTTAACTTAGTGTCTTATTAAAAACTTCGGTCAGGAAGCAACCTTGTACAGACTAGCTAGAAAGCCAGGTGTGGATAAAGGATTAACAAAAATAAGGATTAACAAAAATCTTTACCCTTCTGCAAGGAGATGGTCAATTAGTTTTCTAGCTCTGGCAAGAAACCCGGCAGTTTATCAACTGTGCTACTTCCAACAGTGCTTATGGTAAAAATGGCCCTGTTGGTAACTGTATGGAGAAACCATAAATGAACTATAAAAGCTGATGGGAATGCCATACATCTGGGCCTCCTGGAGTGCACTGACTCGTACATTTAGGCATGTTGCTTGTGGGGGTCCTTGAAACTAGGCCTCTTGAGTTGTCCAAGAGATACTGGCCCTGGAATATGGGGCTTCCAAACCAGGGCATCTGCCACATCTGTTCTTGGCTCTTTGCTTCTGGGAAGCCAGGGATTAGCCACCAGACAACTTCAGAGCCTGTGTTCCCGCTGAAGAGGGGGGTCTAATGCTGCCCTGCTCGTAAGCCGTGCTTCCTGCCTGACGCCTTTGAGTAAACTGGCCTATGCAGTCTGCTGAGTCTGAATGTTTAATTGAACCTAAGAAAAAGATCCTCCCCTACGAGCCACTGCTATTCTTTGTTTTAGATAGAAAGTGAACTCTTGGATACTCAAGAAGAGCGTGAGACTCGACTCTTCCCAGCAGTGGATGATAAGTGCCGGATCTTATGTCATGCCTTAACTGGTGATTTCCTCATCTATGGCACGGATGTACGTAATGTCTTCTTTAATATAGAACACAGGGCAATTTCTAGTTTTTACTTTGTAATATATTTTATATGCATATACATATAGTGTGTCCTGAAAACTGTACACACACACTTTGAATAATTATAAAGGCAGTGTTCATTAAAATACATTTCATTTTTATAACTGAGCTATCAGATCTTAAAGTATGTATACATATTTTTGGGACACCCTGTATATATTATATATTACATACATATTATATATTACATATATTACATATTATATAGTAGACATAAGTAAATATATGTAGAGCACATAAGTGGCATGATTTGTTAGTATTGAGTGCTTTTGTGATTATAAGCAATTTTGAGAGCACAGTAAAAAGGGCAAACTATTGAGTGTAGAATATCTGGATTTAAATATCAGGGTTTTTTTAACTTATAGGTAGATTTTTATTTTATTTCTAAAATATGTTTTATTGATTTTAGAGAGGAAGGGAGAGGGAGAGTTAGAAATATCGATGAGAGAGAAACATCCATCAGCTACCTCCTGCACGCCCCCTACTGGGAGTTAAGCCCGCAACCAAGGTACATGCCCTTGACCAGAATCGAACCCAGGACCATTCAGTCCACCGGCCGACACTCTATCCACTGAGCCAAATCTGTTAGGGCAATATTAGTTCTTTTACTTGATTGTTGCTCTTTAACCCCTCCAAGCCTCATTTTCCTTATCTGGATGCTTTAAGGACTTAATTTGATGACAAATATAAGACACCTCATTCAACTGTAGATTTCCAGTGCCTACGTTTAGGAGGTATTTAATAAGTATTAAAATTAACGGAATACTGAGGACCAGTGTTTTGGTCCTTTGAACCACCATTACCCTGTACCTCTAAGTATTACGTTAGCCACATGGACATAAAGCATAGTTACAGTAATAGCATCTAATATTTGTCAAAACGTTTTCAAAGATTTTTCAAAGCATTTCATACCTATCTTATTCAGTCTTTAAATTCAGTAAAGTTGGTAGAAAAGGTGTTGTTTTCCACATGAGAAGAACAATGATTCACTATTTCCATTTTCTCTCATTAAATTGTTTATTAAAAAGAGCAGGTCTTAAAGAATGCTTATTGCCATAGAGAGACTTTATAAGTTGAAAAGAATCAGTCTTTGTGCTAATTTACATCAGTAGGGTAGGTCTCATGTGTCAGGTGAAGTAGTGAGTGATGTGGTAAATAACATTAAATACAATACGTTTGCATGACACCTAACATTATAAAGCCTGATCTCACTCACCTCATTAACTATATAAAATAAGCAGGGACGTTTTAGAGATGAGGACACTGAAGATTGAGAGGTCACTAGGTTTGTGACAGAGGTGGAACTTGGACAAGCAAGTGGAAAATGTACTCTTTCCACTATGCCACAGACACTTGAAGTAAGAACTCAAAGTGTAGTCGCCTGTCAGTAAGGCAGTACTTATCTGTCTCATTCTTTTTTTTTAAATTGAAGTATAATTGACATAAAACATTATATTAGTTTCGGTGCACAACATAATGATTTGATATTCGTATATATTACAGAATGATCGCCACAGTAAGTCTAGTTAACATCCGTCACCATACATAGTTACAAAATTTTGTTTCTTGTGATATATCTCATTCTTAAGTGATTCGGAAAATATTGGTGCTTTTTAGCAGCTTTACTGAAGTATAATTGGTAATAAACTACACAAGTTAAAATTAAGTTTTGACATATGTATGCACCTGTGAAACACCATCAACTCAATCAGTATAATGGACGTATTTATCACCTTTAAAAGTTTTCTCAATCCCTCCTTCCCACCCTTCCCCACTTACTGCTTTGTCACTATAAATTAGTTTGTATTTTCTAGAGCTTTATATAAATGGTTGTGGACTTGATCCCCAGTTTGGGGTATGTAGGAGGCAGCCAGTCAATGATTCTCTGTCATCATTGTTGTTTCTGTCTCTCTCTCTCCCTCTCCCTCTCTCTCTGAAATCAATAAAATAATATTTTTAAAGAAAAGCCAGTACCTTTGTAATTTTACCTGTGGAAAATAAAGATTTAATTAAAATTACCAACATCTGGCAATTCATGGTAGCTGTACCTTGAGGTGGCGCTTTGTTGGCTGCATATACTGTCCTAAAGTCAAACAGTCCACATCTGCCTCACGAAGTGCTAGAGAAAAAAAACCCAACACATTATATTAGCAGATGCTTTTATGATGCTAAAATTATACATTTAAGTATAATTTTTCAGAAAGTAATTTCACTATAGAACAGTGTGAACTTTATCCTGGCCTATAATCCTGATGTTGGAAAGTAAGACTGTACCCATTCATTCAAAGGTATTTATGTGTCAGGAGATACAGTAAGGACTGAAAACATAGGAATGATTAAGACAATCATGGGGGGCTGATATAAAGATGAATGACTCCAGCCCTAACCGGTTTGACTCAGTGGATAGAGCATCAGCCTGTGGACCAAAAGGTCCCAGGTTCGACTCTGGTCAAGGGCATGTACCTTGGTTGCGAGCACATCCCCATTAGGGGGTGTGCAGGAGGCAGCTGATCGATGTTTCTCTCTCATCAATGTTTCTAACTCTCTATCCCTCTCCCTTTCTCTCTGTAAAAAATCAATAAAATATATTTAAAAAAATAAAGATGAATGACTCCAGTACTATGGAATAAATGCTAAAATAGGGTTGGAAAGTGTCTAGAGCAGGAGTCTGTTAGGCAGAAAAGATGAAGAGAACAGTCTGTCAAAGGCCCAAAAACACCCACATTGTAGACCAGGCATGCTATATAAGGCTTTACGTAAATGTACAAGATATGCACTGGGGATGTGATTTGATCTTTGACTTTGGAATCTTTCTAGTAAAACATTATGAACTGTGGAAAAGAGAAGCTTTTAATTACTATTTGAACTCATTACTCTTTGAAACAATAAATAGCTACAAGAAGGCCAAGGACTTTCAGGTAAAATAAAAGCTGTTATATCTAAAAATTTAAAAAGCCTAAGAATCACAAAGCAAATGGGCTTACGGGACTAAGGTTAGCAAAGTCCAAAATATATCAGGCTATGTGACAATGTTCCAGTAAGCTCTTTCTCAAAGGCCTGGATTCATCTTACTCATCTTTGAACTGTCAGTGCTGGCCAGATCTCCTGGTACCAAGATGGCTCTCAAAAATTGTCTAACTGAACAAGAAAAGTGGACAAAATCATGTTTTTACTTGATACAAGGGTAGAAAATAAAATGGGATGCAAATTTCATATCTTGACCTTCCTGCATATCATTCCACAAAATTCTAAGAAAACATACATCCTTCCCTTTTTATGTTACTATTTCTAAGCATATCCTGTACTTAATTCTTGGAACTTTCACTGAGATTATGGAGGGAATCATAATGGGGCCTTCAAAGTGGGGATCCTGTCCAGCCAGTGTGGCTCAGTGGTAGAGCATCGGCCCATGAACCAGAAGGTCACGATTCTATTCCCAGTCAGTGCACCTGCCCAGGTTGTGGGTTCGATCCCCAGTAGGGGGGTGTGCAGGAGGCAGCTGATCAATGCTTCTCTCTTATCATTGATGCTTGTATCTCTCTCTCTCCCTTCCTCTTTGAAATCAATAAAAAAGTGAGGTTCCTGCTATTATTCAAATGAAATGGGAAAGAGTTTTAATTTTCAATTCCTTTACCTTTCATTGTTGCATATACTTGCTCGTCATCCTCGCCTAAACCCAACATTATAGATGTTTTCGAAATGACATCAGGCTGAACCTCCTTGGCGTGCTTCAGGACCCGCAGAGATTGGTCAAAATTGGCCCTGGGATCACGAACTTTCCTTGAAAACAGCAAGGCTGTTGTCAGCAAGAATAACCACAAGCTCAACTAAGCACATAGTTATGTAAGCAACAGGAAAGACCAGAAAAGTACATTCTGGACATTACATTACATCTTATGGTTCAATGGTAGAATTTGTGCACCAATGTCTAACTGTTACTTTAGGATAGAAAATAAGGCTTTGCCGGGCGCCCTAGCTGTTGACTTTTAAGGCCTTTCAAGTCTGGGGCAAAGAAAATGAAAGTAATTCAATTTATGAAGTACTTGAGGAGAAGCTAGAATTCTGAAGCTGAGAGTGAGTGATTATAAGGGGTAGTCAAGAAATAAAGGAAAAAGCGTGGAAGAAAATCTTCATATTGAACAAAGAAAGAACTGTTTAACTTAAACCCACATTTCAGGGCTGAAACTTTTATGATAATTTCTTTTCAAAAGACTGAGCTGCCCTCTGCTGGTGAGTATACAACATTGACATCTCCTAGTTAAAAAAAATGCAGGATTCTGGAATTTTCACTGGAAAGGATAATGTTTCTTAAGTGAAAACAGGGAAATTGGCACCCACTGGTGGTGGTATGATGAGATAGGGCAGGGTTGGAACAGGCTGTGTGCCAGACTTCAACAGGAGCCAAACCACCATGGTTTAAATTGGGACAGGGCCAAATGGATAGAAATTGCTGATGTTAGCCTGGCTGGTGTGGCTCAGTAGTTGAGCATCGACCTATGAACCAGGAAGTCACTTCAATTCCTGGTCAGGGCACATGCCCCAGGTGCAGGCTTAATCCCCAGTGGGAGGGATGCAGGAGGTAGTTGATCAATGATTCTCTCTCATCATTAATGTTTATATCTTCCTCTTCCTTCCTCTCCGAAATCAATAAAAATATATATATTTTTAAATTGCTGATGTTAAACCAGCATTCATCTGAATTCAAAAGCAACCTTTATTTTTGGGTAATTGATTTGTTGTTGTAGTTGTTATTTTTAACCAGAGACCAGTTCACTGAGAAGAGAGGAAACCAATTAATGAGTTAAAAAATAATCACAAAACTGGTAATACAGAAAGCCATTATTTTCTGAAAGTACTTCTCCACTGAATTTAAATTATGCTCCCTAATGTTTATGATTTAGTGGAAATGATGGTTATCCTTTATCATATTTCTTTCAAATTCATTATACAAACACAGTATAATGTCTATAAACTAACAAAACCATTATCAAAAACTTTACTAAAATTAATAAAAATGAATGTTAAAGGTTAAAATAATTTTTATTTTTTTGAAATATGAGCATAGTCATAATGTGGAATAACAATCTATAATTATTCCTACCCACTAAAATTTTTAGAAAAAGTAAAGAAGTATAGTGTCTACTTTTTAAAAGAGATTTAAAATACATCTGAATGATACCAGTTTTTCTTTGGCATCATTTATTGCATATCTTTTTTTTTAAAATATATTTTATTGATTTTTCACAGAGAGGAAGGGAGAGAGATAGAGAGTTAGAAATATCGATGAGAGAGAAACATCGATCAGCTGCCTCCCGCACATCTCCTACTGGGGATGTGCCCGCAACCCAGGTACATGCCCTTGACCGGAATCAAACCCGGGACCCTCCAGTCCGCAGGCTGACGCTCCATCCACTGAGCCAAACCGGTTCGGCTGTTTTTGTTTTTTTTTTAGAATTATAATCAAAGTAATTGCTCTTGTGTAATTTTTTTTAACACTGTTCTTTGAAAAAATAACTCATTGGCACTTGTAATAAGATAGTATCAAAAAAAAAAAGAAAAAAAGATGCTCATTATGTGTGTATAACAAAACATACACATGCATAAATATGATATTTATACTTGGATGTTGGAAACTGATATTACTGGGTAGAAATATTATGGGTGATGATCACATTCTTTCGTTGGCAATATTATCTAATTTTTCTGTAACAGGCTTATTTACGTTGCTTTTGTTTAAAAAATTCACTTTATAAAAGTCTATTACAAAGTTCTCCTTTGAAAAAAGTGAGAAAACATTCCAACATTACTCTGTATGTGTAATCACCTCTGTAATTCTGGAACTGTTTCTACATTATGTGCATATACATCTAATCCTGACAGAGCGAATTTTTCTATTGCTTTAAGATGTCATCAGAAATCAGGAGTGAGACATTCCACAAGAATTTTTGGATTCCTAAAGGAAAAAAAGATAAGCATTAAACTGAGGAGAAGAACTGACATAACTGCTGCTCAAAACAGAAATCACCCTACACATTCTGTATCAGTTTCAACACAGTAATCTTTAGAAACCCTACCCCAAAAAGCATGAACATACAAATGTTTATATCTGAACTGTTCAATGAAAAAATAAATCCAGAACATCAAATAATATGTACACAGTGGCTAAAACACATCTGTAAGCAAAGAATAACAAGGATACATTTTGAGACTGTGCAGATTTTTAAGCATTACTAAGAAGGCATTTAAAAAATATGTTATTTTTTTAGGAATTAATATATAAGTATTAAAACGTTAAATATAAAATATTTTTTATTTTTTAGAAAGTAAATTGGGATATCTCTATGTGAATGTAAACATTATTTGATTGCTTTGATTTTTATTTCTTTTAAAATTCATCAAATAGGACTGTCCTCACAAATATTTCACAAGTGTTATGGGCTTTAAAAGGTATTCTGAGTTGCTGAATCAAGTTGAGCTTTGCTTAAATAGAATGTAAGCTAAATATTAATCTTTCTATTTATATTGGCTATATCTATACATTCAAGCATTGAAATGTGAACTAGCTCATAGAGCTGCTTTCTCTGACAGTAGCAGAAATGACCGGGACAGCTGACAAATTTTTCCACAAACCCAACTGCAAAGTTTTGGGAGCTGTTTCCTAAGAGAACAGATATAAAAAAATATGCCCTTTCATGGACATAAAAGATATTGAGAGAACACATCCTATAACTCACTGTTTGTTAACTGCAAGTTGAAACCCATTAGTAGTTTGTGAAATCAATTTAGTGGGTAGCAAACAAAAATTTTTTTAATGAATTATAAAATATATTAAGTAGAAAATATTACAGGAATCATTGAAGAAACATTTACTAAGTATGTAGGTGCTAGTCTAGCACTGAGCTATAGGAAATAGGCATAACTCCCTTTTTAAATCTTTTTAAATGGACGAGGTTAAAATCACAAAAATGTGGATTATGGGTAAAATTCCAAGGACATATAAATACAGATAAAATCTACATCAAGACTTACATATTTTTACAATGTGGGAGCTTATCTCATCCTTATTCCTTCTAGATGATGATTTATTCAAAATCAGTGCTAGGAAGACTGCAGCTTTATACTTCTTTTAAAATTACTCAAAGGAAGTTTAGACTAGCACTCAAATACAAAGCAGGGGCTCTATGCACCAAAGATTCATGAATAAACTCGTGTCTCCAAATCCCTAAAATTTCTGCAAATATGTATCTGTATGTTTACATATGCTTTTTTCTGGCAGATAATTTCCAGCAGATTATCAGAGGGATTTATAACACCCCCCTCCCCCCAAAAAAAGTTAATACCACTGCTTTGAAGTAAAGACCATACTGAACTTATATGAGACCAAAACAGTCCTTAAATTACACAAGTACCTTTCCTTTAAGTATGATACAGTCTTTGCAAAGTGTTCAGCTCCTCCATCAGGCAAATCTAGAAACAAGAGAGCCCACTGCTCAAGGTGATGCCACAAATTAGTAAGAGCCAATTTCTGGAAGAGGTAATAATGACACTAACCATCTCGATCCACAGATGTCAGGACAACATAATCCAGACCCCACTCTGCTATTGCCTTTGCAGTATTGTAGGGCTCATTGGCATCCAATGGAGGTGGCTTTCTTGCAGTCTTAACAGAACAAAATCTGCAACCTCTTGTACATGTGTCACCCATCAACTAAAATAGAGATGTTACCATTTCAATCAAGTAGACAGATGACCCTCAAGAATATAATATTGAGAGGATAAAGTTACAAAGAATGAATACAATTTGACTCTGTTTATAAGAAATTTGAACCATTGAAAGCTAAGCGATATAGTTAAGGGACACAAATACAATGTGGTAAAACGAGAAAAAAACAGGAAGTGATAAACTCAGGACTAAGAATGGTGTTAAGGGAAAAAGAAAGGGGATGCGTGCCAGAAGCCGGTCCACCCTTGCTGCTTGACACAGTCGCTGCAGGGAAGAAACATCTGCACAGCTTATGTTTCAAGGGACCTGGCGTATATGGCATATGGTTTGCTCCCC